GCATCTTGCCTCTCAGCACTGAGGTCAACTATATATCTCATATCTCATAGCTGCAAGATATCGGAACAATCGCAGGCCTCAGATAAAAGCAGTCCATCTATGCTTTTTATTTTGCTCCATTTCAGGTTTGCAGGGGGGTTTGAAGCCTATCCCAGCTGTTATAGGTTGAGAGCTGAATACATAAGTGGCCTGTCAAGACACCAATCAACCTAGCATGCCTGCCTTTGGAGGAAGCCAGAGTACCCAGAGAGAATCCATGTCCAGGACAGGTGAGCACAGTGCTAACCACAGCACCATCATGCTGAGACATTAGATTAAAATCCCCTTAGATACTGCTGTTATGTGCATAAAAACAAAAGTTGAGCCGTTTAGAGACAACTTTTTATTTTACATAAACAAATCTAACATGTGGGTTGTCACTGATTAACGTTCTGTCAATATGATGTTGTGTAATACAGGCGTAAAATTATATTTACAATTCCATATAGTGTGCTTTTTGCATATGCTAAAATTTAGTTTTACTGACATCTTTGGGTAGGACTAACACAGGTGTTGGATGATCATTTTTAAGCCCTATTTTCCTATCTTCAATACAATAACGAAAGCTTCTAAGTCATCCAGGACACCGGGGATTACAGTTCACGAAGGGCTGTGTGGTTGTCTAGTAAAAGTTTTCACTCTGCAATAAATTAGAGTTCATGTTTGCTACTTTTCACACTTTTTGAATGTGTTCACAGTTACTCACAAGTGCACTTTAACCCTAAAACCTAAAAAACTTTTTTGTTTAAAATATTTAGAGCGGCGTAAACAGGATACTGCACCATGGCATCAATGAACTCTTGTTTATTTCCTCTTCATAAATCATATTCATTCAACTTCGTTTCCATCTAGACTAGCTCGATGACCAGTGGGTCCCCACCCACAGTTTGACAACCCCTGATTTAGTGAAACCTGTAAAACTTTCCTTCCTCCACAGTCAGACTGGCACAGCTTCATTTTTGTAAATCTTTTTCAATTTTTTAATGACTTTGCTGTTGAAAACAGAAGGACGAGCTGCCACACGGACCGAACCCTGTATGTTAAACTGAGCCTATTTTAGTCTTACTGCTGAGTTGTAGTCTCCAGACACCACTTGTACTAAGGTTTTCCCATGGGCTTGACATAGGTTATAAAGTCCTGTGCATGATTAAACTCCCACACCCACGTTCAGGGACTGAAGCAATAATTCAGACTTTAGTCCCAGTAACTTGAGCTACTCATGTACGTTATTTAAGGTTTTAATTTTGACGTGTCATGTTGAACAGGAAATTCGTATGTTTTGCTTGTCTTTTGGAACATGGTGGAGGTTCTGCAACAGCTGTACTAAGAGAAAGAATCACAAAACCGGTAGTCTACACTTTTTAAAAGCACATTGAAGCAGAGAAGAGAAGGAGTTTAAACCTTAAATTTTTCAAGCACCAATCATCTAAAAGCTCTTAGGCTAAATGCAGGATGGCTTTGTTTTAGCTCTGTTTGTGACTGACCTGCTGCCTGCCTGGCATGTCTGTCCCTCATCCTTCTCTGCTCTACCTGTCCATTATTCTCCTCCATGGTTGTGTGTAAGTAACAGCTATACAGCGTGTCTTACAGCGGGAGGGAGGGGCGGAGAGGGAGTGAAACACACACACAGTTGCGCTGCTTGCTGTGCGCGTCTGTTGGGGAGCGCACCCGTTTGCCGTGGAGGCTCTGTGCACGCCACATTGACAGACTTGCGACTGATGTGCGGATTTTTGCAGATGCCTTCATCCCAACCCTGCTTTTTATGGTGTCGCTGCTCACATTAACGGCCGAGCGACCCTCAGAGCTCAGGAACCCTCACTCCGCGACACTGCCCACTTTTCCTTCTCCTCCCTGTTTGTCCCGCCCAACTCAGAAGTCTAGTTTGATTCAGGACTTTCAGACTTTGAAGCTTCTGATGCACACGAAATGCTTCCAGGACTCTTACAAGTCTGCTGTTAGCCATTTAAAAAAAAAATTCTGATAAATCTTCTGTTTAAAAGTCCGTGGACTGAGACTGAGTGAAGCTACAAGGACACAGCTTCACACTAACGGCACTCAGGATGTGGCAACGTTTTATTTTGACAACAGATGCGATTATTGGTAAGTAATGACCGCAGAAAAAAGACGCGTGTAATGATTATTGGATCAAATAACAAGCACTTCTTCTACAGTACCGAAGCTCCCTCGGCGCATCCTTGCGCGCACGCCAGACGGCACACGCTTGGATCCTGGCAGCATGCATAATTGACGACCGAGCGACTAAACGCATCCATTAGAAGTGTCACTCACCTTGCCAACACGCCCATTAAAAAGTCGTTGTCCTGTCCTAATACGAACTTTCTGTATGTGCCCAGGTGAGATTTATTCTGAAGGAACAAGGGTGCTTCATAGACAGCCAGGTCTCAGAGGCACGCCACCCATGAGCTTATATAACAGAGACGTTGAACGGTCAGTCAAATTACTGCGCGATGCTCTAATTAGATGCTGGTCATGCCAGAGTTTACGCTGTCAGAAGTAGGCTGTGTTTCTGCAGTGCCATGTGTTTCTGCTGTTTCTGGTGCAGATCTTGTGAAATTATGTCTCACCCTGTTTTAGAACAAACCCTCGTAGGCAGTGATTCGATCTGAAGTTCTTGGTTAAGGGAAATTGCTGCTGGCTTAGTGACGGGGCTAAGAGCTTGTGGGCTCGCTTTGGGTAGTTCCTCTGGTGATGCTACGCTCTCTCTCAAGTTCACCTCCAGAGCAGCAGAAGTGAATAAACTTCTAGGTCACGTCCAAGAAGTTTGTACCGGTGATGTATCAGAGTTTGGAGGAGGGGAGGATAAGTGGGAGAAAGTGGGATAGAGACAAAGTCAACAGTGCATGTCTCTGATTATTTCTCAGATTTCTACGCTTACATGTGATTCCGGCTTGTGATGGTCATTAGAGAATTGAGTTAGAGCTGGAGAGAAATGTGTGTGGCTGTGTGAGTGTCAAGGGGTCAGTTCAGTTGAAGCTCATATGGCCAAGCCCATGCCATAACCATCCCATCATCATTTTCTTTTTAATCTAACCCTCTCTGTCTCTCTTTAGTGTCTTTAATCGTATTCCTGCAGTTTGTCGAACAGTGCTTTTCCTTCTACGTGCGCAAATTCAGGGTTATTGTGAATGAGGCTGGACGCTGTTACTTAACTGATCTTGTTCCATCACGCTCAGCGCTGCTGGCCCAGCACTGTGGTGTGAGCGGCAGGAGGCGGTTCACACAGGGGTAAAAGCTGGTTTGAGTCCATAGTGTTGGGTTATGATAGCTACCACTGCCTGCTTCAGAGGCCCACATGTGCTTGTTGTACTGGCAGCATTTAATCTATGTAAATTCCTAACAGCGATGGAGCTGCAGGTGGTTTGAGTTTGGTATTTCAGAGAAGAGGGGCATCTGGCTTCCATCAGTATGAGTCGACTGGAGTGACACAAACAGCAGGAACACAGTCACCTACTGGGCTGTGACTAATTATCATTTACGTTGTTCAATTTAATTCTTTTGTACTTAATAATTTAGTCTTTAACACATTAAAAAAATAGAAATGGGCTGCCATTCACACAAAGTACAGTTTTAGGCAATGCCACAATCTTCAAGGTGACATTAACACATAACACACATTGTTTGTCTGACCTTCTTATTGTAGCCAAAAACGTAATAAATTCTCACACTGGAACCACATCGTGTTTATGGTTTCATCTGAATCAATGACTTTAATGATCAGTTACCATAGAAATAGCTTTTGGTTTTGCAATAATATTCACGATCTAAACATTTGGCCTCTGCTTGAGGCTTTCTCTCGTTCCTCTCTTTTTTTGTCTGTTGACCTTGTGACTCAAGCCAAAGCTCTTTGTTTTCTTCTTTGAACTGCTCCTTTAATGCAGGGACTGCGGCAGCATCACGGCGCTCACACATGATAGGATGCTTGTGAGCCGCGAGAAATAGCCAGAGGGTATTTTGGAGTTCATATGGTTGCTAAACAAAGTTGCCTTTTATGGCCTGTTATTTGATTACAAAGGAGTAAATTAGATGAACGCTGTTTCGAGACCTCTGTTTCGCTGCCCCGCAGAGATTGCAAGGTGTTTTCTGTACGAGTTGATCACATTTCAGTGTCTTTTCACAGTATGTGTGCTGCAGATATGGAAGGAGGAGCTGAAGGACGAGTCAAACACAAACGGGTTTATGTGCTTCACAACTCTTTCAAGGAAATTTGTCTTTTCCTGAGCACATGGAATGCCGCAGTAGAGCAGAGAGGGCAGTTAATTCATTGATGACTGGAATGTCAGAGGATATACTGTAAAGTCTTAAGACATTGCAACTCTGCAGTGAATTTATTAACTTGGCAAGACATAGCGGTGAAACCGGCCATCTCCGTCATTAGCAATATGTCTCCTCCTTCTCCTCCCCCTCCCCCTCCTCCTATACTGACTGTAATATTTGAATCTGAATTAGCGTGCTCCCTGGAGTCTGCAGCAATCAGCACTAATCTGACATAAACTGTCTGCTGGCATGGGCGGACAGATTTCCTGGAGTGGTGAGTGATTATGTTAGCTTATCGTCTGCTTGTCTCTTCTTAGACTCAGTTTGAGCATCCTTATTTGTGTTTTTCACACACATGAATATATCTATAGACTGTGGGAATGCCTCTGCTGAACATGTGCGTGCAGCAGAAAATGACAGTTTTCACTTTTCACGTCTGGTGATTTTATTGTGGCAAAGTCACAACCAGGCTGCCATGATAAAAATGTCCTCTTCCAGTGAGAAAGCAGAGACTATATAGTCTTGAGAATTTGCTGTCATCATTTTCGTGGCAATCCAACCACCAAAACGCCACTTGAGGGAATTTGAAGTTGTTTCCAATTCATTGTGATGAAGAAACTGAGGTCCGCCATGGCCAGTGCTTTATTTATTAATCATATCTTCAGTGCAAATATAGGCTGAAAAACACATGGCATGACCATCAGAATCAACAACCCCACCTGGTTGAAAAACTGTGTGGCTTCCTTCTGGCTGTAATTCCCTACACCTAAAACCTCTGGCAGCATCCTATGCATATATAGGTTTTACTTCATTTGTTTGTTTGTTTTTTCTAGAAATTCATGGATGCCAGGAATGCCAATGTAAGGTTCTCTTTTTTTTAACTTAATGGTTGCATTTTGACAATATATAGACTAGAATTTATAGGTTTATAGAAATTTATAGGATCAAAATCTATCGAATCCACCCTTGATGCAAAAAAGGGAAAGTTTAATCAGTGCAGCAGAAGAAGATGACGCTATATCACAAAGTTCGTGTGCTTTCTTGCATGAAAACAGCAGCTTCATTTGTAGTTACAGAAATATGCCAAAGGAGAAGTCTTTGAGAAATGGTCTGTTTACTCACATGTTTTTCTGATAGGTTGTGGTTACACTGCTATAGCCCACATGTGGAGGATTTCACACGAAGATGACAGCAAACTAACACCTACCTCATGGTTTCCACCTCTGACCATGTAACAGTGTGCCTGCTGCTCTTCCGCTATTCTCAGACTAAAGGGCTGTCTTGATGGTATTTGATGACCAAAAAAAATCTGTGGTGTGGTCATTATTCAAGTTATATAATATACATTACTCATTAATTTTCTTGAAAGTAATTTATAATGTACTTTATTTAACTACTTGCTGGAGAAAGTAAGTGCACTAGTACACTACTCGTTCTCATCACTATATTAGATTACCTGATATGTACTTTCTCAGAGTTAAAAGTTAAAAACATAAACCTTAGGCTACAATCCCACGACACATAACTTTATCCCGATGAGGACATACATATGATCTTTCATTCAGTATTTTCTGCATAGCTGACTGCTCATTACTGCCTTTGTTGAAGTGCATGCTCTGGCTGCTGGGCTGGGGTCGGCATACACTCAGCTCTGGGTTCTTGGCTAGCTTTGCGCTAGCATGCTGTCTGTGAAGTTGCTTGCAAAGAGCTAAAGTCATGCTATCAATATAATGTAGTTGTTTCTGTCCTGGACACAGTTTGTGCTTTATCATCTTGCTCTTGTTCTTTTGTGTCAGAAAAGTGAACGCAATATCCATATCTCCACTTTACATCGCCCAACCATTTCCTCCTCCTGCACACAAACTGAAAGCAGCTGATTATAAGATCAGTTCACTGTTTTTTTGTTTTGTTTTTCTCTACCCGTCCTGCAAATAACCGAAGAAACTTTGTAACCCAAGTAACGGCACAATTGTATCTGTGATGTGATCACTCCATTCAGCACAGTCGTGCATTAGATTACTGTATTACTGAAAAATGAAATGTGATTACAGTATTTTTGTTTCTTTGCAATGTTGTTACATTGTAATGTGTCACACCTAACACTGCATAACATGTAGGCAAGATTAGACTGCCTCTGAAAGGTGAGTTATACCGACAGGCAGTAAAAAAAA